GTGTGTTGGCGGGGGGGCTCAAATATACATGTATAGGGATGTCTTCATGACTGCAAATGTATTTGATTGTTAGCTGAAAGGTGAGTGGAGGTCAAGTGCCCGTAAGCACAATAAAAAACATTTTGACTCACGGGCCAGGACTTCACATATTTGTCCATTGGTGCCATGGATCTATTTCAAGATCAACACCATCGTTTGGATGAATGATTCATTTATTAATTTTGCGTTGACATCAGTGCCAACTTAAAATATGAGCTGTGTGCCAGTGAACCCAGTTCTCACTCCACAGAAAGCGTCAGTTCAGCAAATATTGACAAATTCAAAAAAGAAAAAAAGGCTTTGGTTGTTTAATGCCTCTCCCAGTTGAAATTTCCTGTCACATTAAACAAAAGAGAATTACAACTTGTGGATTTAAAACAACCCCAGAGCTTTGCCTTTGGAAAGTAGCTCAGTTTCATGCTAGTAAACTGTCCCGGACATGATACTGGTGAGATAATAAAAAAAGTGACTACAAAGTCAAAGTGTTGTGAGCGCCCGGCTGAGACATCAGGCCAAAGATTTCTTACGCTGAGGGAGTATGGAAACTTGTGCACAGATGGGAAAAGTATGTGACAGTGCAGGGACACTACATTGGGGGGGGGAGTAAGCTTCTGTATTAGAAATCCTTATACCGAAAAAATAACCTTATTTATTGAATGACCCTCATTTTAGTACGCGCAAATACCACCGGCGCGCCGAGACCCATTCTACTCGGCTCGTGACGCATTTCACCATCTGCACATGCTTTTTGGATTAGCCGCTATCTGTTGGCTCCATTTTTCAACTGGTTAGCACCATGTAAAAGCCATGCAGTCTTTTTGTGAATTTGGTTTGTTACTTAGATTCTCACTTCAGATGCGGGTTTTTTTTTTTTGGGGGGGGGGGGTACACCCAATAATAAGGACATTTTCTATACTATGTCCCCTTCACTATCAAAACTAAGCGTTTTAAGTGATTCGTATTAACAGACCAAAATCAGGTGTTTGTGGTTACCACTAATACAGTACAAACAAACCACATCTTAACATCATTCAACCGAGTGAGAGCAAAGAATCTCCTCTTTATGAGCTGTCATCCTGAGGGGGGAAAGAAACACAAAATAATTGACATTTTTCACTGCAGGCAATTATCTTTTTGTCTGGTGGAAGGCCGACCTGAAGAACACAACTGACAGAAGTCGATGAACTCCTCTGTGAAACGCACAAGTAGTCTGTCATTTTGGAGTAAATGCTCCCTTTTTCCGAGATTTTTGACATTTTTAGGGCTTCTGCCACAACAAACTCCTCATAGAGAATTTGCCACCAAATTATCATCAAGTATACCAGACAGTGACGCTGAGTTGCGAAAATTGTGACATTTCGCGGTGGCCTTATGGACTGAGCCTGGTCGCAAAGTTAAGAATGAATAATTACCACGAAGAAAAATAAGAAATGAGGAGATTCCATGCAGCACAATGAGTGAGTGCTTAGCGTATCTGCATCATGGTTCTGTAGTTCAGGGTTTAAATTTTGACACTGGGTCATGAAACCAATTAGCCTATGTGCCTAAAACAGAATAAAAATCTCCTAGAGCACACTTAAGTGAAGTTAGCCACGACATTTAAATCTTGCCGCTGTCTTGCGAAGTGCGCCGCACAACTGTGCACATGGACGTAGGCATAGCTTGATTGCTAACAGCAAATTGTGCTGGTAGAAATTGGCCAAATGATCATCACTAAGGAAGCTGTTCCTTGGCTACGTCAGCTCGCCCGTGTTTCAGGCCCACTCGAAAAATCTGGATAACCAGGAGGGTGAAAAAGATTTCAGGCTGTATCCCAGCTATGCAGTACTAAATTTCAACACTTCATGTATTTAGAAAAAAGAAAAAAAAACACAGACATGTCTATATGGGCTCTAGAAATATGAAGATTTACTAGAGTGTAATTTGAGTTCAACATTTTTCTTCCAACATATTTAAATCTAACCATTGCTACATTTTTATTTCCCTTTATTCAAGGAGAGTTTCAACTGTAAATCATGTTAATATTTTAACTATGCATAATGTTGCAATGGCCTACGACAATAAGTACAGGTATATTGTAAGAATAAAACCTCTGCCTGTGTAATACCAAAGCAATACTTTGGTGTTGGATGGGGCTTTGGCCTAAACACAAGCAGCGGTGAGGTGAGTTTTTAAATAAATAACCCAGGACAGATTCCCCAAAAATCCTTGATATATCCACAAGAAATGAATCGCAAATATGCTAGGGCAGCTAAAATAGGCCCCGGCTCACCCTCAACTCTACTGGGATGAGGACAAGTTCTCGAGAAAATGGATGGATGGATACGATTCCCATGGGATGCTTAGCCCCTAGTTACAGCTTTAACAAACATGTAGACATACAAAATGCCAAACATCATGTTCAAAATAATCACTCCTTAAAAGCATCATCATCATCATCATCATCATCATCAGGTCAACTTGGTTGAGGCAGTTGGTCAACATAACCTGTTTGCGTGCGTGCGTGCGTGCGTGTGTGCGTGTGTGTGTGTGTGTGTGAGAGAGAGAGATGCACATCTGTTGCTACAGGACGTCTGCACATATCACCACAGCACTCACCTCGCTCCGGTGCTGTTGCTGCGATGTCGTCCTCCTCCATGTGCATCCACCTCCCTCATGGCAACCCCCTCTCTCTCTCCGTTAATTTCTCGTTGTCTCGCTCTCTGTCTCAGGTGTACCGCAGGCTGGCGTCCAGCCGACTGGCGGCGCTGGAGGAGGCTGCGGCGGACAAGGCGGCTTCTCACCGCTGGGAGATGCTCCACCTGCAGAGGCTGCTGGGAGAGAGGCAGCAGGCAGAGGAGAGGCTGCTGCAGTCCAAACGGTAGGAGGAGGAGGAGGAGGAAGAAAGGCAACAAATGAGGAGAGGGAGGAGCGATTGATGCAGTGGAGAAAAGAGGTGATGGTTGCTGAGGGAGGAGGATGCAGGAGAGAGGGAGATGGAGAGAGTGAGACAGAGAGTGATGCACTCGACAGTGTGAGATGGGAGAAAGGAGGAGCGGGAGAAAGAGGGAGGAAGAAAGGGATGAGACAAAATAGTTGAAACAAAAGTAGGAGGGAAAGGGATGCAGTGGATCTCGGAGGAGGAGAGAAAGCAGAGGGATGGGTTGAAGTGGAGAAAAAGATGAAAAGGAGAAGCATGTAAAAGGATGAATGGACGATTGAGAAGAGAGGAGCTGAGGATGAAGAAAGGGAGGAGGAGAGACAGATGCGGGAGAGTGAGAGGGAGAGCGAGTGATCCAGCTGATGGTGTTGAGGGGAAAAAGAAAATGAATAAATTACGAAAAAGGAGGAGGGGAAAGGAGCATTAGTTCAAGGAGAGGGGAGGCGAAGGACAAAGAAGAGAAATTGTTGCAGTTCTGAAGAATGAAGGACAGGGAAGAGCGAGTGTAGAAATGACTTCATAAATATGAAAGGGTGGAGGAGCAAAGATGAAAAGTTGAAAGAGGAGAAGCTGGAGAGGGGCGTGAAAGAAAGGAACGACACACTGTTGCAGTTACGAAGAACAGAGGAGAGGAAAGAGGACGAGGAGGAAAAACGGCAAAAGTTCTCCCGTTGGAGGAGAAAGGAGGAGAGGCAAGAGAAAAAAAGGTAGGGGAAGAGTCACGACATGAAAGCGGGCGAGTGACAAATATGTACTTTAAAAATAAATAAATAACATGGAACAAGAAAAATGTCCAGTTTTATTTGGTGCTTGTGGAGGCTCTCAGTCGTACAGGAAAGTTCCATCGTAGAAAGGGACGACTGACAGAACCCTTTCTACGACAGTTTTATTTGGGACGAAATTGTAAAACAATGAATGAAATTTACCGTATAATTCAGAAAAAGAAATCAGAATATGAAAAAAGTCAAAATTTTGGGGGAATAATTATTTTGAGTATTATGAGTAAAGGCATGGTATATTTTTCATTTAAAAAAAAACACGGCAAACGTAATTTTTAATAACTGAATCGCAAAAGTGAGAAAAAATGTGTCAAAAAAGACAACGATAGCACATGTAGACAAAGAGTTGCACCTCATGACGTGACTTTTTCTTGTTCAGCGATGTGGAGGAGGAGCTGGAGGTGGTGTGGCAGGCGGCCACCAGGGAGAACCAGCAAATCAAGGAGAGTCTCTGGCACTCCGGGCCCACCGGTGACATCCTCCGGCGGGCCTTTGCCGACCCCGTCTCCCCTGAGCGTCCACTGAGCTTCCTCAAAGAACAGGATTGTGATGATAAAACCAGACAAGGTCTGGATTTCTACAGCTAGAAGAGGGGCATCGTGCAGGCATCATTTCTATTTATTTAGACATTATTTTGAAAACTTCTGGGGCAACCCTACCCCCGGTCTTTTTTTCTTTAATGCTCGCAATAGTACACTCACAGTAACTACCAGGACACTGCATATTCTCAGTTGATCTATCGAATGGATGCCAGGAAATCATTTTGATGACTGAGGGGGAAAAAATGATCTTGAAAAAAAAAAAAGATGTTGACAGAAATACGGTGTACATTTTACAAGAATAAAATCTGAATATTTTAAGAAACAAATATTTATTTTTGTCAAGGATGAAATAATCAAATTGAGTAAAAATGTGTAATTTTAGTGGAAAGATAATAAATAGTTGTTCCAGTACGATTCAATACAATACATCTTTATTTATATAGTGCTTTCACAACAGCTGCATCTGTAACAAAGCGCTTTACAGAATATTTCATGTAAAGTAACAAAAATAATACAACAGAACACAACGTAAAACATGGACAATAATACAAGCGTAACAACTATTCCTGCATACACCTTCTTATAAAATCATGAAACTCTTGAGTTAAACAACAGTCAGGTCGCCATTGTTACTGAGAAATGGTTCTCAACTGACCTACCTGGTTAAATCAAGGCTACATAAAATAAGTGTCATTTTAAAACATCATATTATAATGGCCATAAAAATAAGGATGAAAAGTAAAAATGCGTGCATACAAACATAAGTGTCATTTTAAAGTGTCATATTATAATGGCAATAAAAATAAGGATGAAAAGTAAAAATGCGTGCATCCAAACATAAGTGTCATGAGAAGAAATTCATTAAAAAAAAAATTTCACAGTGGCATTTTTTAGGACGACAAAGTCACAACATTATCTGAAAAAGATTTTGTTTCCCGAACAAATAAATTAAGTATTCAACAAATTAGAAATATCACCAGGAGCAATGTTTTTTTTTTTTTTTTGGTTTTGTTTTGATCTGGTGCCCACACAGTCAAATATTTTGTGTGAAGTCTTTCCAGCTGGAAGTGCCATGCATACGTGTATGCATATGTGTTTGAGTGGGAGAGAAAGAGGGAGGGTGCGTGCACGTGGGTGCTTGTAAATGTGCTCCACATGCTCACTTCTCGTCATTGTAACCTTTGAGGCTTCCTGTGTAGCCAGTGCTGAAGGGGGAAAAAAGAATGCTGCTTCATTCTCGGGATTAATTCGGATTGCGCAAGACGCTATCATCCTCCTCGTACTTCACGCACCTGCAGGTAACAGATTTTTAACTCCTTTGAACTATAGTCTGTAAACCAGGGATGTCCGCGCTTTTTTGTTTGAGGGCCACACTGAAATTCTCCAACTTTTTGAAACACGCTAAAGTCAGTCAAAAATGCAATCATATATTGTCTGTGCTGTCACATTAATTTCATCAGCTTTGTGTTAAAGGTGTTAAGGCATCCATGTGTGTATGTATATGTATATATTTTTTTATAATGGCCTACCCTTCTTGTACAACGTGGACATGTAATTGGAATGAAATGATGATGCCACATTTTGATCGACCTAAGACACTTTATTTGTTCATTTGGAAAGAAACCTGCAGGCTGTATGAATTGAATAAAGTAGGCTGGCCCACTGAGAATTCTTCCGGTGCTGCAGATTGGCCACTCCAGGCTGATTGTGTGACAACATCACGGTACATTTCAATTTGTATGGATAGTAAAGTTTTCATGAATCACTCCATGAGAGTGTTCCAGCTCTCCCAAGTCCGTGTAAAATGTGCGTGCAGTATATTCAAGAAATGCACAGACAACAGAGAGATGCAATTGGTTCACGTAGAAAGAAGACACATGCCATGTTACCTGGAATGATTTAGCATACATAGCCAATAGGCAGGGTGCAACAGCCCGGGACAAAGTTTGTCTATCAAACTTCCGTGGTACTAGATAAACTTGTTACAGACTGGTTGGTTGTGTTGTATTGATGAAGCATTATTTGTTTGAAGCTGAATAGAGCACACAGCCCCAAGCAGGTGCATTGGGTCACTTAGGGGGTGGAAGTAAGTTAAATGTGTGCAAGTCTCAAGTTGTTCCGTTTAAGTTTCAAGAAAGTCTCAAGTTGCTATGGAAAGAAAAAAAAAAATCAAGCCAGTCAAGTCGATTCACCAAAAATTTTAAGCACGTTATTTGCTTAAAGCAAGTTATACAATAAGTCTAGTACATACAAACTTACTTAGCGTGTGTGTGTGTGTGTGTGTGTGTGTGTGTGTGTGTGTGTGTGTGTGTTCACTTTTCAGATGATTTTGTAACATAATGAAATGTGGAAAATTTTACATGATTGTGAAAGTTTTCGTGTTGTACAGTATAATTAAATAAAGAGGATAAAATTGCCAAATATTGACTAAAAGTTAAAAACGGTGACTTAAAATATTTGCTAGTGTCAAGTTTTTTTCTTTGATTTTATCTTGAAAAAAAACTCTTGTAGAACGCAACCAAAAATGCTTGTGTTAGGGTTCACTATATGACTGCTGGGTTGAACATCACACAGAGTCAATATCAAAAATATGTATGTTTCATGTTACTGTGTTTTTGACTGCAAGTCTTGTTGTTTTACTTGCTTGGACTGTGGTATCTCCGCGCATACACAACACTGCCTTGGTTAGTCTGGCCAAAGCAGTGTGCTTAGAGGGAGTGCCTGACCCACCAACACAACCAAGGCACATTGATTAGTTTCTCCAAGCCCAAGAACAGAGGAGTGAGGCCTTTGGCACTAACCTGCTGGAGGTACTCAACAATCTTTGTCTCGACCTAAGTAAGACATGCAAAGTAAGGGAATGTTGAGTTGAAATCAAATTACAAGCCGGCTACTAGATAACAATACCAGAGAGACTGATCCAGGGTATTAAACCAGAAAGGGTAGGCAGCTTCCAATACTTGCGTGACTGAGGACCTCCGTGGCGACCTCACCTCGGCACTGAACGCATATTTTTTTTATCTCTTCATAAGTTAAGAATTTATTTGGAAACAGGAAACGTGTTCCCGTACTATTCATTTGATGATAAATGTTCTGAAGCCAATCTCATGAACCTTGACTTTCTCGTTCCCACATTCCATAAACATGCCTGTGATCGTCATTGACGACTAAAATTTGCGAATGTGTGTGTGAAGGCTTGTTTGTGTGCCCTGCGACTTGCTGGATATTCGTTCAAATTCACCTGGGATAGGCTACGGCTTTGGGATTTTTCTCAGGGTAAAATACTTCCATCCACTCACAGATGGTTGGTAAATGCTCTGCGTCTGACTACAGGACAAGATGGAGGCAGAAGATCCTGATTCGGAGATAAATAAGCACCCCTTTTGTGTGAGTAGCCAGCAAATAAATACCTCCTCCTGTGCTTTCATGATCAACCTAACTCTAGTTTCAACTTTTAGATGAAAGGAACCAACAATGCCGGCAGCAAAACGCCCCTGTCGCTGTTTGGGAAGTACAAGCAGAGCGTTCAAACTCTCAAACCTTTCCGCTGGACCTCGGCGCAGTCAGTGAACTTCACTCAGTGGTGCTTCCTTGTCAAAAGTCACGAACCCATTGCTAACACGAGGTCTGTTTGGCTTCTTACGTCTAGCCCCCACCCGATGGACAATGCAGGGTTCGTGTCCTATTCCACCTTCTCATGGCTGACCTCCATCTTCTGGGGCCTATTCCGGAACAGGCTGGACATTAGCACCCTCCACCTGTCGCCTTTGGATGAGGCCAGTGGAAGCACGGACAGGTCCAGAGCTGCTATTTGTGATTTTTTGTGTGTGTGTGTGTGTGTGTGTGTGTGTGTGTGTGAACTAGTTGTTCCTTTCGGAAAATGTAGAACTGGGGCAACTGGAATCTTCCTACATGTTTGTTGAAGACATTTCACCTTTAATCTAAGAACAACCTTTATGTGACCATCCACTGGGGGGCACACCCACCAGAGACATAAATAGGAAGACTCCACAAAAAATGTAGAACTGAAGAAGCCTTTTTTGATTCAAAGTTTCTTCAACGATCAGGAAGAGTCCAGTTTGACCTTGATCTGAATGCCACAGACACCTTCTTGGAGAAGCTTGGATTTGGATCTAGCAAGTAGACCAGAAACCACACCATATGTGTCAGGTTAAAATGTCTCGTGGACAATCCAAAATCGCCCTGATCCTAGGTCTTGATGTCGTGCCACACCCGATGGACGGATAGTGTTGAGTCTCTTGAGACAAATATGAGAATGATTCAGAAACATCCCTGTGCTCTCCTCAGGCTCCAGAGACTGTGGGAGGAGGAAGTAGGAAAGTCGGGTCTGGAAAAGGCCTCTTTGCTCCGAACCATTCTTCGTTTCCAAAGAACCAGACTTATTGTCTCTGTCATAGCCGGGGTCCTTGCCATGGTTTCAGCGTTTGTGGGTCCGGTCAGTCAACTCCATCTTGTAAAGTCATTTAAAAAAGGGCTTCAGACAAATCTGGGAGTAATATCAATCACTGGTCCACTAGGCATGGACCTTGGTTTTATTGGGTACCAGCTTCCACCATTTTAACACAATTTTCAACCTCTCTTAGGCTGTTCTGGTACACCTGATCATGAATCATGTCAGCGACCCTTCTAAGTCGACTCAGATATATGGAATCGGCCTCTGCTTTGCTCTGTTCACCACCGAGTTCTTCAAGAGCTTCTTCATCTCGCTGGTGTGGGCTGTCACTGTGCGCACTGCCGTTAGGTTGAAGGGGGCTGTCAGCATGCTGGCCTACCAGAAGGTCATCTCGCAGCGGGTGCACAGCGGCATCTCCATGGGAGAGGTACAGCCCACATCTTCCAACTTTCATTTGGGTTTTGAAGCAGAAAAAATGGGGGAAAAAGTCCTAGGAATACTGTAAATGCATACTGTTTGGGGGCAAAAAAAAATCCCCCCCCCAAAAAAAACATTAACTGCAACTAAAACTACAAACAGCTAAATTAATAAAATCATGTGCAAAGTTTTTTTTTCTAAAAGAAAAACTCAAGTATGCTTTTTTAGGTTGAAATGACAGCGTTATGAGTAAAAACTAGGAATTCGGTATCTATGTCCAGAGAGGCCGCAATGCTGTGGCAAAAAGCACTACTTTTGTCTAAATGAAGCACCTTGTCTCACTTCAAGATAGTTTTTTGGCACCAAGATCCCACAAAATAGCACCAAAGTCATCCTTTAATTGCTTTTGTCTGAGTAGAAAAACAGCAAATGCCAAGCCGTG